AAAAGAGCAAAAAAAGAGCAAAAATAATGCTCGATAAAGCAAAAATAAAACAGAAAGAAATGTATGACAAAGAAAATAAGAACTTCCAATTTAAAGTAAGAATTTTAGTAGTTTTAAGGAATTCAGTAGGTTAGAAAATGGATACTTAGACCCATGTAGAATAGTAGCAGTAAAAAATAATAACAACATTTCAATAGAGGATAGCAATAAAAAAAGTACAAACTGTACACAAAAATATGTTAAAATTATATAACAAATAAATATTAAGCAAGAATAATTTTTAAAAACAATATATAAGTTATGGAACTCGAACACTTCGAACTTATCGAAATGTTCAAAAGTCGAATATTAAGTTTAAGCTTTAATAGTTAAGTTATATTAAGTAAAACTTGTAAACGGTTGGAACAACATCGTCGATCGAAATTATAAATTTCAGTCGCTCTTCTGGACTGGAAACGAGTAAACATAATTTGTATCTTATTATGGTGGGTAAAACCACATTTCTGGGGGTTCAATCTAAGTTTAACCGAACCAAAAAAAAAAAAAAAACGAATAAGACTAACAGAAAATTTACAATTAGCAAATGAAGTTTTAAATAAAGGTTAAAAGTGAAAATCTGTCTGCTATAGCATTAACAATAGCGAGTTCAGAAATAATACATTTATAAAGACAAAACTGAAAATATTAACAAAAGCAATTACTAGTTAAAGAGAAACGACTCTCATGTTTGTGCAGTAGCAGCGCAGTAGCGTTATATAAAAATAAACAAAGCGACAAAATTAATGCAGCAAATCAGACGCTTATACACACATATATGGTATATCAAATTACTTATGACTTTCTCAAGATCCATAATGATTTAATCATAGTTCAAGCAGACAAAGACAAAATTACCATCTTGATATCCCGTGTAGATTATGTAGCGAAGGTGGAACATTGGATTAAGTCTTATGTTAGCTCAGGTGCCTATATAGAATATCAAGAGGATAGGGGATTATTAGTGCGTCGTATAACTGCTCAATACAAAAGGATTGTGGTACCCTTCTGCAGTCGATACTACATAGCATTGTGGTCGTGTTACTGCATTTTGATTGCAGACGCAATGATTTTAAAAAATAAATTTTACTAAGTGCACAAAAAGATTAAATGGTGAACATACTTACTAGTTATCGCGATCCGCGACAGCATAAGGGCGGTTTGTTTATTTAATCACAAATAATATTTCTAAATTTTAATAAAAACAAAGTTCACAAAATCATTAAAATAAAAATTGTGTTTTGTATTGTTACCAAAACGTTCAAAACAACTGATAGAGACAGCATTTGTTTTTTAACAAAAGTGAGTATTTATAAAAGTGGCGTTGTCATATTGTATATTTCAGTACTTTAATAAAAAAAAAAAAAATAAACTTACTTATATTATTACATCAGTTATCATCAAAAGGTAAATATTTTACAAAAAAATAGTTTTTAAAAAAAAATCAAAAATTAAGGTCACAACTTGTTAACAACATAGTTCCAAAAGAGCAAACAACCCCAACTTTCGAAACAGACAAGGAAGAGTTTGCTCGAGAAACCGACTGGATCGTTAAAAAAAATAAAAAAAGCGCAAAGCTACCATATCTCCAAGAGTGTCACCAATTCTTAACAATATGACACGAAAGCATTCTGATGAAACGGAAAAGGCATCAACCAAGCTACGTCCACCACTAATAATGGTAACTGCCTCTGATAACTACAATGACATAACAAAAATAACACAGATAAGCAAAAATAAAATTTTTCTGAAATTTATAAATAACAGCTTGTGTAAAATCAGCACTTTTGATAGCAACGACTATCTGGAAGTAACTCGGGCTTTAAAGGAAGCAAATTTCTCATGGCACTCTTACGAACATAAACAGTTCAGACCAATAAGAGTTATAGCAAAAAACCTGCATCACTCATGCGACCCTAAAGATATTGTAGGTGACCTCGCAGAAAAGGGTTTTAAATTTGTCAGCGCACTTAACAAACTACAATTTAAAACCAAGAATCCACTGGATATGTTCATCTTAACTTTTGAGTCAGTTGAAGACACGAACAAAATTTATGAAACTAAAGAAATCCTAAACACAATAATATCTATGGAAGCAATTAAAGCTTCAAAACAAAGCTGCATCACTCATGCGACCCTAAAGATATTGTAGGCGACCACGCAGAAAAGGGTTTTAAAATTGTCAGCGCACTTAACAAACTACAATTTAAAACCAAGAATCCGCTGGATATATTCATCTTAACCTTTGAGTCAGTTGAAGACACGAACAAAATTCATGAAATTAAAGAAATCCTAAACACAATAGTATCTATAGAAGCAATTAAAGCTTCAAAACTTATCCCACAGTGCATCAAATGTCCTTCAAACATACCAAAAACTACTGTCAAAGACAGCCTAGATGTGTGAAATGTGGAGTCAATATGAATTTTTATATACGCCATTGTCGTTATATTTGTGAATAAAAAATCTCTTCAACGATTTCTTGGAATGACTTCTTACTTCAGAAAATTTATCGAAAACTATGTTTAAATAGCTAACCCTTTATCGGATTTACTTAGTAAAGACGCCGAATTTAAATTTTATGAAAACAAACTTTTAGCTTTCCAGCAGTTGAAGAATGCTTTATTAACTGCTCCTGTTCTAAAACTGTTTGATCCAAGTGCTTATACAGAAATTCATACCGACGCTTCAATGTACGGTTACGGTGCTGTTCTTCTACCAAGAGACAAGAATGATAATCAACTTCACCATGTTCAGTTTATGAGTCACAAAATGCAAGCTCATCAACAAAAATACCATTCGTATGAATTAGAAGTCCTAGCACTAGAAGAAGCACTCAAAAAGCGGAGAATCTACGTTCTGGGCACAAAATTTAAAATTACAACCGACTGAAATACTTTTACTATGACGATGAAGAAGCACAACGTGCCACTACGAGTATTGAGGTGGGCCGTGTTTCTCTAGGAATGTGAGCATGAATTAGAGCACAGATCCGGAACTAAAATGGGATATGTAGATGCTCTCAGCAGAACAGCATGCATGATGATGGAAGACGCTTTAAGAAATCGAACACGAACAATTCAAAATGCCGCATGTACCGCAGCAGGATTAACGGGATCTACATAATAGAAGTTCCTATAAAATGCGGAAACAGTTTTACGAGGATTTAGTTGAACATTATAAAACGACGTAGCAACACGAATATCAAACAGCAGATCAGCAATTGTCCAATAGGGTACACCATTTTAAAACCAAGCAAAATAGTAATCAATAAACCTAAACAAAGCAGAAAACTCACCACCAGTATTCAAAACTACCGGAACCATCTTGAAGCAATGGAACGAGCCAAACCTAGGACACAGTTTTTAAAACAGGCAATCCCATTAAAACTGAGGTATAAAAAACAAGCAGAAACCCAGCAGCAAGTGGTTAACAAGTTAACCCAACACAACAACGACACCGATTATTTAGATATCACAGCCGCTGAAGACCTCATGAAAGAGGTCAATGAAATATGCCTGCAGCGACCAATTTCAGCGCTAGCTCCAGAGCCACTACACGCAGAACTTTGGGAGAAGATACAAAAGGACGCTTAGAAATGAGTTTAGTTGATCTAAACTCATTAAAAAAAAGTTTATTATTAGTTAATATAAACTTATAAAAAAAATGTTAGTATAAGCTATTAATAAAATTAAGGTATTAATAACTTAAAATGAACTATTTAAAAATTGAGGTATTATTAAGTTAACATAAATAATTTATAACATCAAGTTATTATTAGTTTAATAAAATTAAAAAAAACAATAATCCTCCGTGAAATATAAATCAAGTAGTAACAAGTATGAAATATGTAACGTAAATGTATAAATCCCCTACATCATAAATAATATAATGCAGAAACTTTACACAAATACCCAATATGCAAACATTCCGTAATAACACATTAGGCCCATAGGAGCATATATAATGATACCGACCTCCATATGCAAATAATATAACGATATCTACACATAGAAGGAGCACCCTCACATCTACACCCAAAATTGCATGACTGCATTTTTTATCTACACATATATAAAAAAAAAAGCTTTTGATCTGTAAAGACGTGGTGCATATTGAATTTTATTTTTGAAGTGAAAACTTCTTATGGCGCGTTAGGCAAATTTTGGGTGAGCATTTTCAGCCGATCTGACAGATGAGATTTTACACAGATATACTCCGCGGGTATTTGTATAATATATGTATACTATACGCGCTCTTTGCATGGGCATTCATTCGTGCTCTCGCGACAGACGAGATTACATACCTATATGTGTATTCAGAGTGTATAGGTATGCGAGAGCGCTGCATGCTATACGCAGTCTTTGCATGGGCATTCGTTCGTGCCCTAGCGACAGATTATTGCTATGCTACTGCTATCGCTCTCACTTTGACGAGAGCCATAGCAGAGCAGAGCACATCAAATTTAGTTGAGTCAAATTTAGTGTGTCTGCATTGTATGTCTGCATTGTGTGTCTGCATTAGTATGTCTGTTTTTGTGTGTGTGTTAAACAACAACGGCGGGAGCCGTAGCACATGAAAAAAAATGATCTGCTCTGCTCTCATCTCGCTATCATTTTTTTGCTGATTTCATCATCATCATTTTTCAAACCCTGATTTAAATATTTCATTTGACTTGTGTTGCTGCTATGGTATTGTGTTAAAAAAACAAAAAAAAACAAATCTAAAGTGTTAATAGAATTAATAAAAACATTGTTGTAGTGCTTTTGTATACTATAGTGTTATATTTTGTATACATTATTACAACTGCTGCTCGTCATCACGTAAGTAAATTATTATTTTATTTGTTTATTTTTTTTTTTGTTACGTACATGATACGTACATAAACAAATGCAACACGTTATTAAATAAAATTATCTAAAAATAGATAATATAGATTATAGATCTATAGATTTGTCTTGAAAATGGATGCGGATGATTCAAATAATGCTCGAAAAAGAAAAAACTCGATAGATGACTCCACTTATGAGGATGAAGTAGAAAAAAGAAAACAAAAAAGGAAAGAATATGATAATCGATACAGAGAGAAACACCCACATAAGTCAGACTTGGCGAAACAAGCGAACAAAGATTATTGTAAACGATACAGAGATAAACGAAGAACGTTAAATTTATTATCAACTGACCAAACTCTTGTACAACAAAGTGTACCTCCTCAAATCGCTGGTACATCTACCAGAGATGTGCCTTATGTACCTCGGACAGCAATATATTCGTCTGGTCCATTTACCACAGATGATATACATTCAGAAATCATACACAACGATCAAATTACAGGTCCACCAAGCCATTCTGACGACAATACTCCTATTCACAATGTCGGGGATATAATAGTTCCAAGTCAACCTCCCTCTCAGATTGTAAATGCTTCCTTACCTAATGTGCAGGTTCAAACATACTCTGCTTTTCAACGAAATTTCTCTGCGCATCGAGATTTTCAGAAAGATTTCGTTGCAAATGAATTCGGCTTTGCTTGTGATGTTTGCGACAGACTGTGGTTCAAAAAGGATTTGAGTTACTTATAAAATATAGATACGACTAAAAATATTGATTTTATAAGATCATTGCTTTCAAACACTGCTTTACCGGAAATTAAATTATGTTCAACTTGCAACGCAGCAATTAAAAAGCAACGTATTCCACCGATGTCTGTTTACAATGGATTCAAATATCCACCTGTTCCTGCATCTCTGAAAGACTTTCCTTTAGACTTGGTAACCGAAAGGTTAATATCTCCAAGAATTCCGTTCATGCAAATTCGTAGACTGCGACATGTACATGGTCAATATGGAATTTATGGACAGGTCATTAATGTTCCAATTGAAGTGAATACAATGGTTAATGTGTTGCCAAGGCAAGTAGATGATGATTATGCCATCACTGTTCATATTAAACGGAAAAAAATTCACAAATCTAGTTACGTCTATGGTATAGTAAGGAAAAGAAGCATAAAAGTTTGGTTACGATATTTGAAAGACACTCCTCTTTACACTTCCTACGATGTTGCACTTGATGATCGTTTTTTGAATGACAACAATGAATGCGAAGTTGCAGATGATATTGTCTTTGATGAAGATGGCGACAATGACATTTTAGAACAGATACCAATTGGCGAAAGTTTAATAGCTCAGCAACAAACATTGATGTGGGACGAAAATATGTACTTGAGCATTGCTCCTGGAGAAGGTACTCTATTTTATTTTTGTTCTTTTCTTATTTAATTTGTTAAATTTGCAAAATAAACATATGTATTTTTTCAGGAAACGTTCCAATCAGTCTGCTATTCGATGAGCACGCTGAAGAATTATCTTTTCCACAAATATATTTGGGACAATTTAGGCAATTCCGTGATGGTGTGGTTGCCACAGCTTTCATGATGGCAACCAGTGAACTTAGGAGATCTGATAGACGAGGTGTAACCCCTCAACACTTGCTATACATGACGATGAAAATCATGAGGTTTCGAATCAAACAGTCTCTTTCTATAGCATTCAGACATGTTGGCCAAGGTATTGCAATCACTAAAGAGCAAATACAGTCAGACGATTATATGCATGACTGCATTGAGACCAATTTGGCATTTCTTCGCTCAATTCCGAATTCAGCATATTATTGGGCAGAAAGAAAAAGAGATCTTTTTGCAATGATTCGACAATATGGTAAGCCTACTGTTTTCTTTACTATAAGCGCCAATGAAATCGGATGGCCAAAGTTATTGCAATTGTTGCATAATTTGAAAAACAATTCGGAAATATCTGCAGAACAAGCTGCTGAATTGCATTACATTGAAAAAAGTACTCTCATTAATGAAGACGCGGTAACTTGCGCTATTTATTTTAACAAGCTAGTCAATGTTATTATGAAAATATTACAATCTAAAAGGTTTAGTCCTTTTAAACAATACAGAGTTTTGCATTACTTCAAAAGAATTGAATTTCAACACAGAGGTAGTCCACATGCACATATTTTAGCGTGGTTAGATAATGCTCCTGAAGATGCTCTTGACAAGGATTACAATAAAGCCATCGATCTCATAAATTTTTTGATATCAGTATCAGCCACCGAAGCTTCTGGTAATATTAAATTACAAACTCATAGGCATTCTTTTACCTGCTATAAAGGAATAGCATCGCGAAGACAACAAAAATGTAGATTTGATGCTCCATTTTTGCCTGTTAAGGAAACAATGATTTTAACACCTATGAAAGATACAGAAGATTGTTTCCAACACTACAAGGTGAAATACAATTCAGTCCGTAAAAATTTCGAAATCTATGACTACGATGATTTTGCATCATTTTACAGTGAAAATGATATTGATTCAGATGAGGAATACGTAAGGATAATTCGAGCGGGAATTAATAGACCACAAGTTTTTATAAAAATAGAACCTTCGGAAAAATGGCATAATCCTTTCAATCCATTCATTTTCGATGTTGTAAAAGCTAATACTGATTTTCAATTTATTACTGAAGAATACTCTTGTGCAGCTTACGTAGTAGAATACGTAAATAAGACTAATAGGGGCGTTAGCAATTTGCAAAGAAAAATCATCGAGGTTATGGATGAACATCCTGAATTCAATATTTTTGAAATTACTAAACATCTTAGTATCCATCTTTTGAACCAGACTGAGATGACCAGTCAAGAAGCTGCATGGTATCTATTGAGGGAGCCGATGTCAAAAAGTTCAACTGCGATCGAATTTATACCGACTATATGGCCAATCGAAAGACACAGAGTAAAGAAGACAATGAAGCAATTGAGTGAACTTGAAGACGATTCGATAGATATATGGAAAGAAAATTGGTTCGACAAATATGAGAAAAGACCCGATGCTATACAAAATGTTTCTCTTGCTCAGTTTGTTTCTAAATATTACAAAAATAACAAAGGTGAAAATGTAGAACGAGAAGAACCAAAAGTCATACGATATCGTAATTATGACATGGCTACAGACTACAATGAATACAGGAGAGAAATGGTTACTTTGCACATGCCGTTCCGACACGAAGAAGCTGAAATTATTGCGGAAATGCGGTATATTCAGCTATATGATGAAAATGAAGCACTTATACTTGAGAGAAGAAAAGAGTTCGAATCAAATCTGGATATCCGAAAGACGCTGGAGATCTGCAGAGAGTTATGTCGCGAAGATATTAACATTGATGGAGAGGAAATAAATGAGGTTGTTGGTAGAATACCTGATGAAAATCCATTTGCCGAATTGTATGATAATCCAAATGCCGATTTAAATGATGATCTACGACTTGCGCTATTTGATAAGCTTGGGGCCATCGCTAAAAAAAAAAAAAACATTTTACCATATGAAGAATTTTATGAACTTATACGCAAGGCTAACGAAGAACAGCGAGAAATTTTGTTTCACACTATGCATCACTTGATATCGAAAACCGGAGACATGAAAGATCCATTGCTCGTGTATTTGACTGGACCAGCTGGAAGTGGTAAAACATTCGTAATAAAAGCGCTTATGGAAATTTACAATAGATTTTCGGATACTGATGGAATTTTTATTGCATATATTGCTTGTGCTTCAACCGGAAAAGCTGCTACAGCCATAGGTGGCACAACGGTGCATAATGCTTTAAGTATAACACTGTCAAGGTTAGTCCCCTCAACGTTGAAAAAGCTCAACAATACAGAGCTCTATTTCAGTATGTTAATATTGTTATCATTGACGAAGTAAGCATGGTTTCTGCAGAATTATTACAGCAAATTGACGCACGTCTGAGGCAAATAACTGGCTTGCTTCAAAAAGATTTTGGTGGATTGGATGTAATCCTTATCGGAGATTTGCGTCAATTGCCCCCTGTAAAAGCTACGCCAATCTTCAAGCAAACTAAAAACAGAATTTCAGCCGAAACACCTTGGCGAAAATTCAAACAATTTGAACTCAAGAAAGTAATGCGACAAGAAAATAGACTATTTTCTTCGATTTTAACGAAAATAGGAGATGGAACTATTTTAACTGAAGAAGAATTGAACGTGATTGAATCTAGATTTGTTACTAAAGAATATGCGCAATCTGTATGTCCGGAAGGAACAAGACTTATGTTTACAAATATTGCTGTCAACGAATACAACAATACAATTTTGAATAGTTATCAAAATAAAATTATTTCATTGGCATCGGATGTTTTCGTTGGCTGTCATAATGCCGACCAAGAAGCTTATGTTAGACAAAAGTTACACAAAATGAAACCGGACGAGACCGGCAGCTTACCATACGAATTAATTCTAGTTCCCAACCGGCCTTATATGATAACTACAAATATTGATGTAGCTGATGGTTTATCTAATGGCACTGTAGGTACATTAATTCATATTGAATTAAATGAAAATGATGAAATTACAAGAATTTGGTTAAAGTTTCCAAAATCTGCTGGTCAAAAGCGCAAAATTAAGGCAAGAAATGACACTGAACGCTTGGGAATCGACAGAGATGCTGTGCCAATTTCTGCTCAAACATCATCAATACCACTTAACAACAACAAAACTATAGTGGCGAAAAGAAAACATTTTCCACTAGTTTCGGCTTTGGCTATGACGATTCACAAGTCTCAGGGAGGTACTTTTGATGCTATTGTTTATGAATACAGTCGTTCTCACTCAAGAGAATTGGTTTACGTAGCCTTATCAAGAGTAACTAATATAGAAGGTTTGTTCTTACTAACTAAAGAAGATACAGGAGCGAGCTGGAAATTTCATCATGGCAGAGTAGGAAACGCACCGACTGATGATTCAAACACAAGCAAAAACCAAAAGAGATCTACAACTCATCGAGATGATTTATCCATCGAACTGAAACGATTACATGACAATAACTTACAAACTGTTACTAAAACATTTATTGATTTCATTTCTACAAAAAAACGGTTATCTATTTTTTCATTCAATTGTCAAAGCTTACGACGACATGTACATGACCTATCAGTTGATGCTCTTGTTGAGAAAATGAGTGTGTTAATATTATCAGAAACTCATGTGAGTAACGAAGAAACCATTGACATTCCAAATTTAAACTTTATAGCAAGTTTCAAAAGAGACAATCGTCCAGCAGGTGGGGTGGCTATTTATCATCGGTCCAATGATACTATGGCCACATTTTCTACAGATCATATGGAAGTGCATGCGAGATATACCAGTATGTTTAGCACTAATGTTTCGAATATTGGTGATATATGTATTTCCCAATGCCATTCTAATGGACAAACAATAATAATGGCTGCCGTTTATATTTCACCAAAACAGTCTTTACAAGCAATACGAGAGTTCTTGTATTCAAATTTATTCATTTATTCTAAAGCTGCTTCCGCAATATTTATGATGAAAATTAATAGAAGATTTGATCATTATACTATGATTTTGAGTGGAGATTTCAACATAAACTTTGCAGATGTCAAAAATCAATCATTAATTGAATTTTTATATCAAGAATTTGATTTAACGATGTCCAATGATCGCAATCTTAGCACAACAAAATACAAAACTACTATTGATGCAGTATTCACAAGATATATAAATAGATTTAAATCAAAATTGTTTATTTCATACTTTAGTTACCATAGACCTATTGTATCAGTTTTAGAATTTGATGAAAATCCTGATAATAATGATGAAAATGCTGATAATGATGATGTAAGAGTTGTTGAAATTATGGATGAGAACTGATAAATTTTGTATTTACTATTTACTAATATTTACTCATTTAAATAAAACCACTTCCTTCGAATATAGTTTCTATATTATTATACTTCATGTCCATTCAAAAAGTGCCCACATTGCTTGGATAAACTTGATTTTTTATGTACAATTTCTCATGTCGCGAGCGCACCTAAAAATGCTCACCCAAAAAAGTGCCTAACGCGCCATAAGTTCAAGTTTTCACTTCTGCCTGCACTCCCGGAGTGTTTTTCTCGGTTTATCAAACATACTTATGCGAGAAACTATTGAAGTTATATGTGAAATGTTATACACAATAAATTTTAGCAAACAAACCATATGTGACATCAATTATTCCTATGTGAGAAACTATTGAAGTTATAAGTGAAAATACCAAACACAACAGATACTAACAAACAAAATATGCGTGATGCAGTTCTTGCATATATATTCAAACTCATTACAACAATCCTATAAACATAAATCTTAAATCAAGTATGAAGTTCCAAAATTAAATGTTGATTTATAAATTAAATTAAACCAAATATTATTCCTCAAAATTACATATCTCTTCCAAAACTATATTGTGGCCTCAACATATGTTTCCCCATCAATTATACATCTTAGACACCAAACAAACATATATCAAAGTGACAAATATATGCAATTTGCACCGGCACAAATTATAAATATTATATGGGTTATGAATAATATTCTTCAATTATCTATTAAGTGATACAAATTGTGAAAATAGTGTTATATACAAAATTATCTGAAATTTTCTATAAAACTATATAAAATTTATAAATAGGAAATTCTTTGTTTACCAAACAAGCACCATATAATTCATGTGTGTCATACCGCTTCGCAACTTTTATAATTTATTCATTACGAACATCAATGTCAAACCAAATCATATACGTATTACATAAATAGTACAAGTACACTTATTTTAACTGAGATCTCTCAACAAAATGTGCAATTAATGATATTTACTTTTTTAACCAATTAATAATTAAACCAAGTCATTAAGTCCTTAAAATTCAATTCTTTCAAATCTAATATAAACTTAAGTACTGTTTTTTTAATGTTATTTGAACTGAACTATTAACAAATTTTTTATTTTTATTTTTTACTCAGGTCTCTTATGGATGTATCTACAGATGATTTAACTCATGTCTCTTTAACGTGAGTTAACCTTAAGAATGAAAATTCAAAGTTAAAATTAAAATTATAATATACATTATACATTAATGTTGTCCATGAAGCCAATGTATTTAATAAATCTAACATAGGTCTCTTATGGATGATTCAACTGATGATTTAACCTTTGCCTCTTTAATGCAAGATATAGAATCTAATTCCAGTATGCAGTGTATGGGACCTAATTCTAAACCTGAAATCATGACGGAGAATCCTTCATCAACTATAATTTGTAAATATAACAAGTTTACATATGTATTATACATTTACAATAATTTCCTATTTAGCCTTTTCAAATTCGCCAACCACTGCTCTGGATCCAAGTTTATGTTCAATGATTAATCTTGCCAAAGCTACAAAATCAAATTCGCAAGTACAAATGGTTCCCAGCCCAGCCCAAGAACAAATGGAAACCAGCAACAAAGCTGAATTAATTAGTGAAAATTGCGGTGCAAACATAGGTCAAAATCAAATTAATGATCGAATAACAGGGCCAATGTGTTATACTACAAATATACCAAACTTACACCTGGATGTAAATCAAACCCGTCAACATCATGATTCACTTGCTATCGACCAAATAATTAATATATCGAATATAGAAAGTAAGTGTGATTAAATAAACATATTGTCCATTATTAATAATTAATAATTTAGCTACCCCAACCGCATTAGGTCCAAATGTGGATTCAGTACCAATTATTGTACATATGGATGAAGAACGTACATCCCCAATGATAGGGGCTGTAGATAATACTAATCAGAATTTAAACAATGAGCATGTGGTTGTAGATTTGACAGAGACAATGAATAATGTTATGACTTCCAACCCTCCAATGAACACCAATAAAACCCGAGGTATATATATATATACATACATTTATTGAATTAGTTCAAATTGTAATTAATTGTAATAATTAATGGTTAAGGATCGATTTTATCTATTATAATGTTAAACCAATAAGACACTACAAATTAAATATCCCCATAACTTTATATATAAGTCATATCCAACTCTAATTGATTGAATATATTATTTCTCCTTAACTTAGATCTTTTAACACCAAATCAAGCCAAATCAACAGTTGTCTCCAAACCAACTTCGGAAACTATATTGTCTACCTCAACTGATCTAATTGAAACCCCGGACATGCAAATGAGTACATATAATGTTAATTTAAATGAAACAAATCCATGTAACTTTTATAACGGTCAGTTACCCCAAAATGTACTTTTTTCAACATTATATCCAAAAATAATACCTGGTGGGTTCCATAACCTAAGTGGTCGCCAGGTACCAAAGGAAGTGCAAATATTGTTGAGCTTCGGCCCAAAGTATAGCCCTATCAAAACACCTACTATAAAGGACTTGTACGTAGCTTTGGATAGCTATAATGAAATATATCAGAATCAATTTATAAATTTAAACTACCAAAGTCCATTTGAGATGCAGCTGCATTATACTCAATTTTTAAAAGCCATAGAAGATTATCAAGAACCTCAGCAAACTCAACAAATATTATTTCAGTTATATAAGTATACTTCCGAATATTTACAATCACAAAAAGATTTGATAATAATACAAGCAGATAAAGGCCAGTCTACATGCTTGATGAAAAGATCTGAATATATACAGAAGATGTATGTGTGGATAAACCATAACCTAGAGATAGGATCCTACATTTTGTATACAGAAAACCAACGAGCCTTGTTTTATTGCTTAGCTGCAAAATATCCAAGAATAGTTAAGCCACTTATTAGATGGCATCGACAGGAACCGTCTTCATTTCCAAAGTCTATACTAATAAGCTAGCAACAAATGTTAACAATATCCAGTCCTACCTTACCATATCTATATGGCACCGTGAAATTACACAAAAAGGAGCAACCTATGAGGCCCATTTGCAGTCCGCTAGGTTGGTACATCCATCCACTCCATTAGTTAATACATCATGTGTTAAAAAGGACCTTGTCAAACCGCATGTCCGCACACAATCTGATCAATATGAGCTGTTTAACAGGGCATATCTTACAGCTTCAGCCTTTACCAGGTTATGTATTCGTGTCCATGGACATAAGAGACATGTATCCAAGAACCAATTTAACATCCCTCTGGCGCACCTTGAAAAATCTTATGTGCTTGCCTTGGTTTCTTGAATCATGTCCTATACCCATATCAATGCTTAATATGGCATTAGAGTATATATTAAATACTGGGAACTATTTTACCTTTGAAGATAAATGCTATATTCAGGCAGAAGGGTTACCACAGGGAGGTGCAGCCTCTGGAATCCTGGCAACAATTCATCTCGACTCCCAAATAGAGATCCACACTCCAGCTTTATTTCATAAGCACAAAGTGCATTCTTGGTGGAAGTACGTCGATGATGTCCTATTGTATATGTCACGACACGATATAACTTCTTTTATGGATACATTTCAAGAGTTGGTGGGTTATGAAATCACCTATGAGATAGAAACCGAAAATCCATCATTTGACAATTATCCAACCATATCTTATTTAGATTATAATATCATACGTGCACCATCTGGATATCTGATATCCTTGTATCGGAAAAAACAACAGTCAATGAGGATACTGCACTATACGTCACATATCTCCTTCCAAGTCAAAAGATCAACTTTACTTTATCATTTACGACGTATTATTTATAGAACTAGTATAGAGTACTTAGAACGGGATCTATATAATTGTATAACACAAATCCTGATAAATGCTTATCCATACGCAATGATCCAAGATGTGCTACATCATATCTCCATATCGTATATGCAACAAAGTTCTATTGAAAACTAAATATATAAGAACATCATCCTATCCTGGTTTGCAAGATAAACGTCCGCGTCCACGTCGATATAGGAGAAGCCTTGTATTCAGCTGCGACGAAATATCAAAAATACTTATGCAAACAACAAATATCTTCCATAAGGAGATTCAACCTTTCTCACGCTCTGAAACATTATATACCATGCTAAACATGTCCTTACGATCTATTTCTTCTTCTACAACTACTATAACTCCGCGTCACCATATACTAATGGTCAGTTGTCAAATATGCGGAATAGGAATCTTTTGTACCGGCAAAGGTAATCCCACTGAAATCATAGAAGATATATGTCGGGATCCACAGTCACCTATCTCAATTCATATGGGCTTATACCAGCATAATGGAATAACACGTTATGTCAAATTGCCAATCAATACTGATATGCAAATACAAGATCAACTATATATCTATCAACAAATATATCGATCAATGGGCATAGAGTGGAATAGTTCACAAAAATACAATATAATCCCGCGTTTTATAGTACTTGGATTGAAAGCATATTTAGAGAAGGTACCAACAAAATTACCTATTGAGCGGCAAAATCGACGCAAACGTCAAATTAATAACTCTAAATAGATGTAATTACCAAAGTTGCAAACTACACATTATATTAAGCATTAAAATATGTATAATCACCCATTTTATATATACAATTACCCATTATTATATATTTGTAATTTTTATCTCTTAAAAATTTTTTATGAAGAATCAATTATATGCATCTCAAGTATGCACACCACACCTAAACTTGTTACTTGAAAACAGAAATATATACAATATACTTAACAATTTACAAATAAATATGCTCAAAACTTTTGCACGTATTTCACCATGATTAAATTTAAATGAAATTTAAACGAAAATTTAAAAGAAAACAACAATATATATATACAAATAACTTCTATATGCTACTTAACAGTACTGCAAATATAACAATAGCTGCGTTTCAGCAAA